AAAATATTACAAAATAAATTAAATCAGAAAATTAAAAAAAATGACTTACTTTACGCCGTCTGCAGAACAATATGATACGAGTACGTACGTATGACGTACACAAATAGATCGCGAAATTTGGCTAAGGCACGTCGCTCCGCAAATGGACGTGACCTCTCTCTGAGCTCCCGCGGGCGAATGATCCCCGATTTTTTTTTTGCGCCCGAAGCAATTAAAGGGCTACCCTATACGTAGGGAGGCGGAAAGTGCATTACGCATACCACGATAGCCGCTCTATCGTGGTTATGAGGGACTCACATCCTACCGGGGACCCTAAGTGATGATTTCCCGAACGCGTGCGTTCGGATTTATATTCAAATTCGGAGTTCATATGTAAAATGTATGGCGAATTTGGGACGCTTTTTAGAAAATTCATAACTAAATCACAAAGCCAAATATAAAAAATGTAAAACGGACGAATTGTGGTGCATACGTTGTAGATTAATATTAATTCCATGTTTTGAAATAATTGAACTAATTTCGATAAAAATTTAACTAAACGGCAACATACCATTTTTAGGATTTTGTCTAACTTTATGAATTTTTAAAACAGAAACTAAAGATATTTATTTGTTTTTGCTTCGGAATAAAGGTAAATACATTCTTAGTGATGTTTAATAAATAATTTTTATATTAATTATTGTAACCATAAAGGATAATTTCACTTAACAGTGACTATCGTTTTGAAGTATTTTGCTCGATGGGCTCTTAATTACATACATTAATTTTTGTACTTTTAATCTAAATACTCTAGCAACTAAATCGTGTCTGTCAGTACTTTTTTGGCCCGGCATTAGCTCCTCGGTTATTTCTTTCCATGTGGGATTGCAAGTAAAAGTAACAAAAAGATCAGGTCTTCCGTAAGTTCGTACATAGGCGAATGCGTCTTGTGTGTACTCATTTAGGTAGCGGGTACTGTTAACGAATGATGGGCAGAATTACCATTTTACCTAAATTTCTGGGGTTTACATTGGCGTCGCTAGAAACTGCATCTTGTAAATGTATATAATTCTCAACGCGCAGCTTTTTTTGATTTAAAGATATATAACGGAGACGTTCACTTTCTACCTTCACATACATGTCTACAAAAATTGATGAAATAATTGTCTACACCGGGCTAAGAGGTTAAAATCATTTTCTCGCAACAATCATATGATACGCATAAAAATCCAAACATGATACTTTTTGTTCGGAGTAGGCTCCATTGTTAGGGTTAATGAGTGGAATTTGACAATGATAACCCTCTTGTCCTTTGCAATAAATCAATGGGTATTGCAGAGCATCATAAAACTTGTGTGTATCGGCTACCCGTTGTAACGTATCATCACGTGCTCGCAAGACAATGTCTCGTGAAGAAAATTGATCACTACTAATTACGGCTGCTATTTCGTTTATCAAAGGTGCATTGTAGCGCCTTTCATGCTCTCCTCGACGGGTCCGATCTGCGTGAATGACGACTTTATAATCCTCTTCAGGTAGGTTATCTAAAGCAGTTTTAAATGTTTTGACTAAATTGTTACGTCAATGCAAGAATCTTTGAATTTTGAACACTGTGTCTCTCTCAACTCTCTGGATAAATTGGCAGCGAGGGTCTACCTCAATTTCTTTGTCACCCATAAAATATACTTGTAAAAATTTATGTTGTTCGTTTTCAGCTGGAAAAAGTGAACCTATTCTATGATAAATTTGCCTTTGCACCGTAAATGTAGGCGAAAATCCTGGCATTATTATTTCCCGGTCAACTCCGAAAGACGTCATTTGAAAGCATGAGTTATATTTCCGGATCCTGTTTAAAAAGCGCCGTGACTCATTAGCATCATATAAAAGGAGAGTTTTCAAAGGTTCTTCTGGTTCCCCAAGTAACGGAAGAGACACTTTGCTATTGGAACAGCACATGCCTGCGGTCTCATCTTTCCATTTTAAAGCGCTGCAAAATCGACACGCCTTGTCCATCAGTCCGATAACAACTAACCTGTGATTTTTATAATCAATCAACGGATCATAATTGAATGCTGCGTCATTAAAACCGACCAATTGTTTCTGTGAAAATTTTGTCGACGTTCAGCTTGGAGCTGTGCATTTGCATCTCTTCGCGCCTGTGTCTGTTCTGGTGTTTCAGGTGCCCTTATAGTAGATTGACGTTCAGCTTGCTCAATGAGTCTGTGTTGAGTTTTATCAGGTGTTTCCGGCTCTTAAGGCGGCCTGACGTTCCGCTTGTTCGAACAGTCTTTGATGACTTTGAGCAGGTGTTTCAGTAGCTCTTAAAGTAGATTGACGCTCTTTCTGTTCAAGACGCCTTTGCTGACTTTGATCAGGTGTTTCAGTAGCTCTTAAAGTAGCTTGACGCTCTGCCTGTTCAATACGCCTTCGCTGACTTTGAGAAGGTGTTTCAGAAGCTCTTAAAGTAGCTTGACGCTCTGCCAGTTCAAGACGCCTTTCCTGACTTTGAGAAGGTGTTTCGGGAGCTCTTAAAGCAGCCTGACACTCTGTCTGTTCAAGACGCCTTTGCTGACGTTGAGAAGGTGTCTCAGATGCTCTAAAAGCAGCCTGACGCTCTGCTTGTTCTTGCCTTCTCAGTTCAGCATCTTCTAGGAGGAACAGGCCCGTCGTTTGGAAGAGCAGCTTAAACGCGATAAGGAAGAGCAGATGCTCCTCATGAAGGACATTCATTCTACCTTCGGAAAAGAGATAAGGGAGGTGAAGGATAAGGTTGCTCAACATGACAACCGCCTGTCGGAAGCTGAAACCCAAATCGACCAAGTGAACAATCGGGTTGACAACGTGATGGCTGACGTGGAGAAAACGCTGGACGACCTCAAACTGGGGGATGGAATTACAGCTCCAATAGTAGGTACAATTTCGCTACGTGGATTCAAAGTGCCACCGTTTGACGGGACTCCTTCTTGTTAACCCTACAAAATCCAGTTCGAGGCTGTCATGGAGGCGAATGGCTAGAGTAAAAGTCAGGCCATGACTGCACTCACCCTAGGCCTGCGCGACCAAGCCTTAACAGTGTTGGAAGCTCTCGGTAAGAAGGTGACTTACGAGCAGCTCCTTGAGGCATTGGTGGCAAGATATGGCGATGCTCGGATACACCTGGTACACGTCTTTCGTGCGCAGCTTAAAGATCGCGTGCAACGCGGCAACGAAAGCCTGCAGCAGTGGGCTCTTGAGGTGGAAAGCTGGTGCGAAAAGCATACCGGTCTGTACCTGCGCTCATTGAAGGGATCCTGGTGCAGACATTCATCGACGGCATCCGCGACCTTGAAGTCGAGAGCTTCTGTGAGGCTGGGGTACCACGTGACGCTTAAGGAAGCCTTGACCCATGTACTTGAGGTGGAAGTCGTGCGGCAGGATCATCGTTGCCATCACGTCAGGGAGGTTGCAGTTTGCGACCGCAATAATGGATACAGTCCTAGGTGCTATGGCTGTGGAAAAAGGGGCCATCTTCGACCCAGCTGCCCTAAGCGAACTGTAGAAAGGGAAGGTGATCGATCTCGAGGGGTTAGTGCGGCTAACGACACCGCCCAGCAGCGGCAGGATCATCGTTCTCCTCACGTTAGGGAGGTTGCAGCACCTACAGTTCGCGACCACAATAAAAGTTACAGCCCAAGATGCTACGGCAGCGGGGAAAGGGGCCATCTTCAACCCAGCTGCCCTAAGCAATCTGTAAATAGGGAAGGTAGTATGGCTTACAGCACCGCCCAGCAGCAGCAGGAATACAAGTTTACTATCGGACATTGCAGCGGGAAATGGCGTGGCAACAAAGATGCATTGTCAAGAAGACCTTATCCTGATGATTGCGAGAACAGTACTAGGCAAGAGGGTAAGGAAGTGGTATTCGTGAGGATGCTCAGGACAGACCACCTCAGCAATGAGTGGAAGGACAGCTTACAACATGCACAGCAGGAAGATCCGGACATCAAGCCGATTCTGGAATGGATGAAGGCCAGTACTTCCAAGCCCAAGTGGAGCGACGTCTCAGCGATGAGTTCCCTTAACTACACGCGGGCGAAGTCGCGGGGAACAGCTAGTCATAAATAAAACAGAACTCATAAATAAATAAAAGTCAACACAAAAATGACAACAACTAATTTATTTCTCTATAACAAAATAAGCCGATACCCGTCAAAGATTTACAATTAAAATCTTTACATATAATTTTTTCACGCATCCCAATTACATCCATTTTCAACATTATTTAAATATTTTTATAATAAATACATACTTAACTTTGTTATCACCGTTACTATAGACACATACGTTATGTAACAATTCGCCAAAACCATATTTCATAATATAGAAATACACCAAGGCACCAAGAACAATATTGTAAATTGTTAAGCTTAAGGCGGTTGATAATAAAATAAAGAATTAATTTTTATATATTCTGATCTATTCTATACATATTTAGATATATGTATAGAATAGTTCACAATATATACTTAAAAAATGATTAGGTATCAATTTGTGCGATCAACACTAATACTACAATACAATTGGTAATGGACAATAATTAATCTGAATTTTATACAATAAAAAATGTTTGGTACAAATAATCTTTCAAGTTTTTACCGTGTAATTTTATGGACTGTTGCAAAATATAATCACACACATTTAAAAACAAATCTAAATTGTATGTTATGTTTCAATTTAATATCCAACCTCACTTTGGTATTTTACGATATTTTTCTCGATGTTATATTTTATCTTACACTATTCAACCATAATTTATTCACCTATAATTGATATCATTGAATACAAAAACACTTTCGGAAAAGGTTTTTATAACATCAAGAGTGAAAATAATTAAAAACTTAAATTCACAATTTTGTTCCAAATTTTACAAAAATACAACTAAACCAAAACATAAGATAATAAATATAAACATTTTTAAATAAAATAACATAGCCTGTCATGAAAATAATTGTTCTATATTTGAAACGTCAATAAACGTGCCATCATTGTTTCTGAACTTCACGTTTCTCTCTGGGTTTCAAAGCGAAAGTTTGATGAGTTACTAATTCTTTGAAAACGCCATTTTCCTTCGACATCAAATCCCTGTAAGTCCCTTTTTCTACTATATGTCCATTGTCAATGACGGCGACTTCGTCTGCTGATTGTATGGTACTCAGTCGATGTGCTATGGTGAGAACAGTTCGGTCTTTACTTATATCCTTGAGCGCCTTATCTACTAAGTATTCAGAATAAGCGTCTAAGGCTGAGGTAGCTTCGTCAAGTATGAGAATTTTGGGATTCTGAAATAGAAACATGAAATTTGTGGTATTTATTTGGAATCAACTTTATTAAGTTTATTGCGAATGGGATAATTTGCTGTTCAAATCACGTTCAAAACGATCGTTGATCATAGTTTTCTTTAAACTTATTACAAGACAGCGCTTGACTTCAGTCCCTGGTGATAAGTGATGATGAGCGTTAAATGGTGAATGGTTATAGCGTAACAAAAGCCTATGCTCTCATGACTTGAATTCAAGTGTGAATCTGGGTGTCAGACTGTAAAATTACAGAATACCTGCGTAGAATAGTAGCTTAATGCTGCTGTGTTTCGTATGGTGAGTGTACGGAGACCCTTTTTCTCTTTACTGGAAACGAGGCATTCCATTTTAGTCCTCACGGGTGACAACGCATCTGCATTTTGATTCGTAATCGAGTATAGATGTAGATGTCTATGGGCCACAGCAACCACTTAGCATCAGGTGAACTGTGTGCTCGTTTGTTAACCTATTTTATAAAAAAAAAATCGGACGGAAAGCCAGACGCCGGCAAATTATTTCAAACTTTTGCCGTTTAGTACGAATGCGTGGAATATCAACAACAAAAGGAAGAAGATCCGTCGACTGCCAAGTTGTTTGTTAACGGAAAGGGGATAGAGACATATAAATTCTGCGCACTCTCCAGAATGAATCCTATAGAATAACGAGAGCCCCGCTAACTCTCACCTGTTTTCATGGCACACATAATTATTTTCAACCAAATCAAGGTTACTAATAAGCCTCTTAGCACAGATCTCTACTTCCCTTACAATCCAATGCAGTTAGATAGTATTTTGCAGCACCAGTCACAGCAGGACTTCATGCAAGTTCAACCTTGTGCTTGATATAGGGTAAGAAGCTGCCCTGGCATAAAGTACTACCGTACTCTTGCAAGAATGTTTTGTTCCCAAACGGCTCAGGCAAAGAGTTTCAGAGTAGTGTTGCCTGAATAGTAAAGGAATTGTAGGTGACCCCGTGTTGCCTGAATAGTAAAGCAAATGTTGGTGAAGCCCGTGAAATGAGACGGAATGCTAAATGTATGATAAGATGAGGAGCGAAAAATCTTATAATGAGTTTAGGATATAATGCAATTGATCCTTAAAATATACTGGAGAAGTTAGGTTATTCAAAATTGTGAAAAGAACATGCAGAATTCTATATTGAGCCCCTTCAGGTGATCTTGATAATGAGAGGTGTGATCATATTTTCTAAGATCAAATATACATCTAATACAATTAATTGTTGAGCATGTGCTCTATCTTATTAAAAAGATTTTGGTTCAAATCAGGCCAGCACACATCTGAATAATCAATAATGGGAATTATAAGTGATTGCACAAATGTTATATAGCCTAAGAGTTATTTTATAAAATCTGAAAGTTTTTCTGTGCTTTATGCCAAGAACAAAGGTCTCACCGTCGTGGGCTCTTGCTCTATTAGCTTAGCCTAGAAAGGAAGTAAGTACTTCAGATGAAAGAGATCATAAGGTGGCAAAGGCTAATTTTAGTGACATGCGTACATCAGTTCAATATGTTCTTCATATACAGGCCAAGTTTATTTACAGAGAACATAATACAGATACAGAGAATATATAAGAGAACGGTATCAGTAAATAACTGTTATATATACCAGGTAGGCTTGCCAAATCAATTTTGGACAACATTATCGAGATACACTGACCTTTATATATATATATACATAGTGGTCAGTGTCGCGAACCTTTGAGTAAAGCTTGACACTTTGTTGGATTAACACATATTCCAAAACGCGCAGACCATTGTAATAGCGTCGTAGAGCTTTTCAATAGTTGATTGCAATTGAATTTTGAGGTCGTCAGAAACAGATGGTACGAAAAATTAAGAGTAGATATGACCAAGTTTTTAAAAACTGAGAAACTTAAGAGAAAATATACCGCCTAGCGGGACGCCACTATCAATACTAGCACTACACAGAACACTTATGTCCCATATGGACGGACTGCTGACGCCCGAGAAAATATGAAGAAAAACAATCCAAGACTGAGGATGCGATCTTAAATGGGACAGAATAGGTAAAAGGAAAACATCGTCGACTACGTTAAAAGCATCAGAAAATTCAACAAGCCAAGCAATTGTGCGTCTTTTTCGACAAAGGCAAAACTGCACACAATGCTGCATGAAGTCGTTAAAGAGGTTCATTGATTTATCCTATACCTTTAAACAAGCAATTCTGTATTTTATATATATATATATATATATATATATATATATATATATATATATATATATATATATATATATATAATCGGAATCTCGGAAACGGCTCCAAACGATTTTCATAAAATTTTGTGTGCGGGGAGTTTCGGGGGCAATAAATCGATCTAGCGAGGATTTATTTTTAGGAAATGTCTTTTTGTCCGTGTTTTTAGGCAATGAAAAACTGCTACAATATCGTTAGAATAAGAAGGTAAATTTTGACAATTTAATAACAATTAGAAATAGCTTAATTGGTATATTGGGCGGGCGGACAAAGGCGTAATACCATGGTTCGAGCCCAGACCAACCGGCCGACTTTTTTTAATTTTTTTTTCAAGTTTCTTTCTTTTTTGAGAAAATATATTTTTTCGAGCCCTCTTTTTTAGTATTTTTAAAAACACGAAAATTTAAATTAAACTAATTGCACTCATGATTTTTTATTCAAATAACCAGTTCAGTTTTTTCTATTATGTCGCTAAGATCAAAAAATATTATTCGTATTTCATCAGTATGTAATTTGTATCTAAATATAATTTCCAAAACACACGAATTAAAAAAACCGAGCGTAAAATACCGAATAAAGCTCGGTCAACCGGATACTATATATATATAAACGGAATCTCAGAAACGGCTCCAACGTTTTTTATAAAATTTTGTGTCCAGGGAGTTTCGGGGGCAATAAATCGATCTAGCTAGGATTTATTTTTAGAAAATGTTTTTTTGTCCGTGCAGGCAATGAAAAACTGCTACAATATAAGAAGGTAAATTTTGACATTGTGTTAATGATCGTAATAGCTCAAGTAGATAGCGAGCGGTCGCGAAATCGTAATGCCTTGGTTCGCGTCCTGTCTTCAGTCTGAATTTTTTCCTTTTTTTTTTTCAAGTTCCCTTCTTTTGTAAGAAAATCTATTATTTCGAGCTCTTTTTTTTACGAAAATTTTAATTAAACTAATTGCATAATTTTTTTTAATTAAAACCGAGCAAAGCTCGGTCGTCCAGGTACTTTATTTATTTTAACAAATGAGCATTGTGACAGGCACGAACTGTACAATGTACATAACAATGAGCAATGTCTTCCTGAAGGTAAATAGATACTGTGAACTATAGACACGTATATCTCTCCTCAATTAAGAATTAAAATGTGTGTGTTGTCACCGTTAAGGCTAAGACGGATCATTGCCAGTAAAAATGGTCTTGGGGTCTTAGGCTCCTCAGATGTTTAAATCACTGAGCAGTAATCTTTTTAAACATAAATTCAAAAACCTTTTAATTGAAAAATGCTACTACACTGTAACGGACTTTCACAATGATAAATTTTGTCATTATATATATATATATATATAATTGATTTGAACATACATATATTTTTAATTATGATTGTTATAAGTAATAATTTCAATGGCTGTATATTAATAGACTTTGCCAATGTTAAATGAAAACTAACAACCAAACACTTTAAATTTTACACACGTATGTCGGTAAGACATGTTGATACTAATAACACTAACAGCAAGAATATATCTCAGCCCATGCATTGTATAACTCACACATGTTTTAGTAAATAAAATATCTTAATCTTATCTATCGTACGAACCACAGCAGCATTAAGCTGCTTAAAATAGCTGGTTGGCTTAAAGCAGTTGGGATTCTGTGAGGGTGTGCAAAAGAAATGAGGACTTATAATAATCTTCCGCTCACCAGACGTCGCTTGTTGGGATTGAGACAAGTCTTTTGTAATGCAATGCCATATAATTGAGAGGTTGCATTTTAAATAAAATTTTGTCAGTTTCTAGTGTGCAAAACAATGCCTCCGTGGATATCTCCATGTTTTTCAAAAATGTGATCTCTATTTTTAGTTTTTCTACTTTTAGGAATATCTGCAGATTGCATTATTAATTCTAATCTATTTGATATTAAATAAAACTAATATTATAGAAAGAAACATTCCACTTACATTTTCCTAACAAATAAAATTCCCCGTCAATTAATCTGTCAAATATTTCACCTCGTTCCTATGTGGTGCCGCCCTGGTGTTAAAGTCGCGGATGCGTTCATTACCTTGACGATAGCCCGTGCGATGGCCACGCGCAGCTTCTGACTGCCGCTGAGTTGCGAGCCGCCCGCGCCCACGCTGCCAGCCCTGCGCGCCCACCACCTGCTGCAGCTGTTACCGTGACGATAGATAGCCCGTGCGATGGCCACGCGCTGCTTCTGGCCGCCGCTGACCTGCGGGCCTCCTGCGTCCACGTCACGCTGCCAGCCCTGCGCGCCCACCACCTGCTGCAGCTGTTGCCTTGACGATTGCGAGCCGCCCGCGCCCACGTCACGGTGCCAGCCCCGCGCCCATCACCTGCTGCAGCTGTTACCTTGACGATAGCCCGTGCGATGCCCACGCGCTGCTTCTGACTGCCGCTGAGTTGCGATCCTCCCGCGCTCACGTCACACTGCCAGCTCTGCGCGCCCACCACCTGCTGCAGCTGTTGCCTTGACGATAGCCCGCGCGTTGGCCACGTGCTGATTCTGGCTGCCGCTGAGTTGCGAGCCGCCCGCGCCCACGTCAAGCTGCCAGCCCTGCGCACCCACCACCTGCTGCAGCCGTTACCGTGACGATAGATAGTCCGTGCGATGGCCACGCGCTGCTTCTGGCCGCCGCTGACCTGCGGGCCTCCTGCGTCCATGTCACGCTGCAAGGCCTGCGCGCCCACCACATGCTGCAGCTGTTGCCTTGACGATTGCGAGCCGCCCGCACCCACGTCACGCTGCCAGCCCTGCGTGCCCACCACCTGCTGCAGCTGTTACCTTGACGATAGCCCGTGCGATGGCCACGCGTTGCTTCTGGCCGCCGCTGAGTTGCGAGCCGCCCGCGCCTACGTCACGACGCCAGCCCTGCGCGCCCACCACCTCCTGCAGCTGCGCGGTGCGCGCCGCCACCAACCACGCCGGCTCGAGCTTACCCTGCGCACGACAACACTCTTATTACAACAGGCATTCCGTTATTTTCGCTTGTTTGCGGTTAGTAATCCGTTAGTAATCCGCCAGATTACTCAAATATTTACTTAAATAGATAATTATGAAAGTAGATAATAATAGTACATCAGCCCTTTTTACGCATATTTTTTTAAATATTCCCGTACAAAGAAAGCAAAGGTATCTATCTTAGCTCATACAGCCATGAATGTGATCAAAATTTTTTTTATTGATAAAAGCGTTTTGTACTAAAAGATTTTATGCGCATCATCATGTTCACTTTATTTTAATTGCCTTTACGGCGACTTTTAACACAAGGTTATTTTGTGTGCACTGTGCACATCTTTGCCACAGTACCTTTAATATAATTTAAGTGTAATTTCTTTCCTTTTATAATAATTTAAAAAAAAATACTTCAATTATCATTATTCACATAACTTTCTTTTTTCGGTCTGAATGTATATCCATTTGGAATTAACATGTGTGTAAAACTTCTTTTGTTTTACTTTTACTAAACGCATCGACATCGAAGTACATATCGAAAACATAACATACTTAAGCTTATAAAAAATACTTATATATGAATTCTTAAAACTATTTTTTTTTTCTATAGAAACTGTATAAAATAACATAAAAAAAATACATTAAAGTTTCTTGAAGTCAAATAAACATCTATATTGCATATTTTTAATTATTAAAAATAAAAAAAATTTCTGTAAACATCACAAACATTGACCAAGTATATTCATACAAAAAGCAGCTAATTCAAATTGTAGGATGTGGTAAGTTGTTTATGATGGTATCTAATACAAATACCCATAGCCACAATTGCAAGTGTCAAATTAAAAATCAAGATAAATTGAAAGTAAAAAATTGGTTGCCCTGCAGGCCAACCCTGGAACTTGCCGCTAATTTCTATATCGAAAACTATTAAAATAACACATTTTTTATTTTATTTTTTCAAAAAAAAATGAGAATTGATCAAAACAAGGATGTCGAAATAATTCCAAGAAAACTATTTTTAGAAAATTAAAAATAGTCGAAATTTTGGGGTTTTCTCAGAATTGACTGTGAGTCTAAATTCACATACAGTAGAGCGTCAAATATCCGAACGTCGATCAACCGAACTGCTACCATACCACGCTGAGATGCAACAACCGCGGCAGACCTTTCCTTTCTAAAGGGCCGGCAACGCACCTGCAATTCTCCTGGTGTTGCGGTTGATCATGGGCGGCGGTAGTCACTTAACATCAGGTGAGCCGCATGCTCGTTTGCCCCCTCTTCTATAAAAAAATAAAAAAAAGACCGCCAGTCAGAAATCGCGTTGTTCCTACCTCATAAAAAAGCGCCTGGATGAACAGTTCGATTTTCACGGAATGGTTTATAGAACTTTTTGTACCCACTGTAAAAGCCCATCAGCTAAAGAATGGCAAAAGAGAGAAAAAATTATTACTCCTTGATAAGCACCAGCATCATGAATGTCATGTGACATAGTAAATAAAACCTGTGGTAGGTTTTAACGTAAACTCCTTATTACATCCCATGAACCAAGGTGTTATTGAGAATTTCAAGCGACATTACAAAAATTGCCGTAAGTCGTTGCTAGAAAGAGAAGAGGAGGGAGAAAAAAGACTAACAAGAAATTATAAAAAGATTGATTTAAAAGATGCATTCTACATGATCGGAGTAGTTTGGGACAGTTTAAAAGAACAGACTACTAAAAAATGCCTGGAATAAAATTTTGATTTATAGCGGAGAGTTCTCAAAGCGAAAGTGGAAACGAAGAACATGCTACAAGAACTCAATTGCCACGAATGTGATGACGAAAACGTTCAAGTATGGATGACTGTCGACGATACAAATTCAGGGCACCAAATCTTGCAGGATAGCGAAATTGTCGACCTCAATGTCGTGAGTGACAAAGCTGATACCGTCAGCACCTCATCAATTAGTGATTCAGAAAATGAAGTCGAAAATATTCCTACTGCCTTTTTTACTAAGCTATCTGACTTTATTTATATTGGTACATAAAATTATACAGTTCGATTATCTGAATAAACCGGTTTTCCGAACACCCATGTCCCCCAATTAATTCGGATAATCGACGCTCTACCGTAAAATCTAAGTTCTGCAAGGCTCTTTCATTGGCCGAAAACTACTTACTACACTACGTAACAAAGTTATGAGATTTTTACACACCCACACACACGCACGCATGCACGCACGCACGCACGCAACCACGCACTCACGCTTACACACACACACACACACACACACACACGCGCGCGCACACACGCACACCACGCACGCACGCACGCACACACACGCACGCACACGCGCACACGCACACACACAGGGAGGGAGAGAGAGAGAGAGGGAGAGGGAGAGAGAGAGGGAGAGAGGGAGGGAGAGAGGGAGAGAGAGACACACACAGACGGATATCATTTATACACAAAATAGCTAGAATAGCTTCCTAGGACCTCAAAACTCAATTTTTTGTGAGTTCTTTAAAACGGGGGTGAAAACAATAATTTCCTCATTACTTGAAAATCATTGATTTTCATAGCGGGAAGTTAAATAGCTGATGTGAGTCTGTTTTAAGTCCACCTTTGCACATGTTGCTTTGTACAGATTAACGAGTGCACATCCAACACCCCTTGTATTAATAATGCTATCCTATTGTTTTAAGAATTCTGACAATGGTGATCTATTTATATAGACACTGTGCATAGCGCACGGGCGATGTTGGCGATATTCCCAATCACACACCCTTAATTTTCGTAATTATCAAGAAAAAGTTTAGCTCCATGGAATTAAACCTAAATTCTGAAATATTATTTTAGGTAAATGAAAAATTCTTACATTATTTTCAACCATCTCCTCGCCGTCGCCTATCGCTCCATACAATATATTTTCTTTAATTGATCCACTAAAAAGTACAGGTTCCTGAAAATTTACATTTATTTAATAAAACTTGCAAAAAAGCAAATGTTGAAATAATTTTATCCACTTCACTGTGAATCATGAATGTCGTACAAAATAAATAACGGTCATGTCAAAAAGATCTGGAATTTCAGCAGTAATAGCGTACTATACCCATTTTCAAAAAGTGTTTTAAAAGAATCCTATAGTGATATTTAATGAACCACTATAATTTTATATAAATTATTTAAAACCGAATTGTGCCATAAAAATTACTTTCAATCTATCGTTTTAAATTTTTGCGTGAAAACGCTACCCGCCATGATGTTCAATTCGTGACGTCACTGTCATAGAATTTTGCCGAATTTGCAAAGGAATAAGATACTCTTTTGATGTTTAATAATGAGTTATCATCTATATCATTGTTGTGTTGTGCCTGAATGAAAAATTCCAGCATAAGAACGTCGGGAAAGTTATGGATCAATGGATCAAGTGCATACTGATTTAAATATAAGAAATATTTGGTTAAAACTGGCAAGAAGATACCCTACATTGTCTACAAAAACTAGACTATTCCTCTATGAAGATCATTTTGATGTATGTAAGTATGACTTATATTTAATTATCGTTTGTACAAAACAAAAAATTATGAGGTGAAGGGTATCGCAAGTCAAATTTTGTAATAAATTACGTTAACTATATTATAACTAATGATTGCTAATGATTGTAACTATAGATAAACTAAACTATGATAGCTATTAAACTGTGTTTTATCAAAATACACTCTGACCTGGTATTGTTTTTGTATAAACAAGTTGGTAATAGGTACTTACGAGTACATTGATGTGTGGCCGTAGAAGGAAAAAGGGAGATCTCCCGCCGGGCAAGGTATTGTGCCCGGGGAGCGAGCATCATCTCCGAACTATCACACTGGAGCCAACGCTCCAGTGTGATAGTTCGGAGATGTTCTATATATACTGTTTATGATTCGGAATTTTGATTGCGTGATTTAGACTTCGGTGTGTTTCGCTCGCGGCGCGACGACAGCGCCGCCACAGATTTTTTGACATTCCTCAACTCAACAGAACAAAAATTGGAATTGTATGCAAAAAAATTGGCACCATCAATTTATTTATCTTTGGTAGATTAGTACTTTCTGCTTTTATGAATTCGTCTTCCATGATGCCTTTTCAATAAAATTCAATAATCGTAATGATAACTTGAAAATTTTCGAAATAACACAGCACAAGCTAATGCTTTCTCTTAATCAGTGACACAGAACACCAATACCATTAGGCGGGATCAGTGACTTCACGACAGTATCTAATATGGCGGACAGCGTTTCGCATATTTAAGGCACGGACAAAAAAATGTTCTTAAAATTGAAATATAAATTTTTAATGCAATTTTATAAATAGAAAATAATATTTCCCGTTTACTTTTTACAAAATCTATCATAAATCTATTTTTTTACATGGTGTTAAATACCGTATTGAGAGCTTAAAATAAGTTTCACGATTTTATTTGTCAACTACACCGCACTGTAAAAGTATTGTTACGGACGGCGGAGGGAGCCACTGTCCCATCACCCCGCGCACCTCACACCGCATCGAGTCACGACTCCCGCACCCCGCTTTAGAAAGCAGAGAAACGAGCAGCGCAGCCAATCAGCGAACAGCCTACACAGCGAGCTCGTGAGGGAACTCGGCGCCCACGCGATATCCGCAACGGGAATAAAATTGGGGCCCCCGGCTGGCATTTCCCCTTTTCCCCAAGAAGGGTCGCATCCGATACGGCAGAAAGGACCTCCAGGTCAAAACCAGTCCCAGGTGGTGTTTAGTGGTTAGGCGCCTAGGTTTTTATAGTGAGTCACACATAACCACGCAGACGGCTGCATGGTACGCTAAGAGCATTACAATCTTTAGTAGACGTCCTCAGCGTAGTTTCATAGATAGTTTACACAGTTCAAAATAATAAAGTCGGTCAGTTTCTCAGTTAGTTATCTCACATCATAATAAATAAATACCGTACACTTCCACGACAATACAAGCGAGACAAGGGAATTATATCTACGAGACATAGCTAAGAGCCTTAATCGAAAAACATCCAGAGAAATACTGAGAAAAAATGTGCCTGATTCAGAGATTATATATGATAGTGTATATGATCCAGTAGTGGAGTGTAGGCTAATACAGTAATTCATTATAATTTTAGTATGCATGTATTTGTCTCTCAATTTTAATATAATTTTTTTAACAATCATAATAGAGAATTAAAGTTATTACCTGACTGACGAAACCAATATGGCTCCTTAACCAGACTGGGTCCAATTCTCTTATATCAACACCGTCTAACAGTATCCTTCCATCATCAGGATCATATAGCCTCAATATAAGCGATGCTATCGTACTTTTGCCGCAACCTGACCGTCCAACTAACGCAATATTTTTGCCCGGCGTTAGTTGTAAATTCATTCCTTTGATTAAAGGTGCTCCTTGGTACGAAAAACTCACATTTTCTAGACATATCTCACCCTTCGGACTTACAGTTGGCCTTAAACCACCTAAAAGCACCGCAATACTATTTTACAAGATATCGAAAATAAATATTTAAAAATGTATGTATTTTGTAAAAGGACATGTTTTTTATTCTTTTTATATTTCTTCTTTCAACAAAAAAGCAGTTTTATAAAAGTCATTTCAATTATAAACTTCTATATTTCACGGTAAGAATATCCATTACCCCATGTCGATCCTTGGGCGTCATAACAGACGACAGAGGGAAACTGCAACAGGAGATGGGGAGCAGCATCTTCTTGATATCAACTCAAAATAATAAAAACTGCAGTAGCCTACCCGCCTGCCAAGCGTGGCAACATTGTCAAAATCCCCCCTTTGAGGGAATCTATTAAAGTTGTTCAAAACAACTATAAATCAATAGCACGCTACAGACTATAAACTATAAATTTCTAGCGCGCTATTAAATACGCTATGTTATAGCGCGCATTTTATAAGAAAGCGTGTACGAGGCTGGCAAGCGTGTTAAGTATAGCAGCACGCTATATCTTGTAGCACGTTACATTACATGTCGTTCGTTGGATAGACCGCGTGCTACATAAGAACATTATTTAAATAAGTATACGTTTAACGTATAACATTATATAAGTCGCATTTTAGACTAAAATAAAATAAAGCGGTAAAAAAAACAATGAACGCTTTTTCACACTATTCAGGCTTCCAACTTTTTATAATCCTAAAAATATTTTTAATGCATGTACTTTTTAAAACGAAATAAATTAAATTATTTTTTATTATAATTTATGTAAACGTTATTGTAACCTTAATGTAAATTATAAATCAAATTACTGTGTACTTAAAAGTTTATTGATTGTATTTATAAAAATCAACTATATACATACGCTATTATATACACTTTTGTATCTATATTTTATTTACGTTTAAAAAATTAGTTAGGCTTCTTTTATAGTAGACAACTGTGTCCTTTGATAACTTATAAATATACAGTATACACTATAGTTCGGCCGTTCAGAGAATTCGTTCCTGACACCTATCAGTTAGTCAAGACTAGTGATGGGCACAACATAACACTGAGTTCGTTACCGTTCCTCCAAAATGAACTGCCGCGTTATTTTTAAGATTATTTTCGTTTTAAATTGGCGGAATCATTTAAAATTTATATTTTAGTAATTTAAGTGGAAACCAAAAAAAGGTAATATTAATATAATAAAATTGTTTTATTTATTCTTTGTTACAAAGTTACAATCTGCATTTCTATGCAATAAAGTACATTGAATTGAATGTGCGTACAGAATATTAATCAGACTCCGATTCGCTTGAGGAGGTGGTGTCTTCATCATCATCTTCGCCTACATGTATAATTATATTATTATCAATAACAGAATCAATCCCGATATCTCGGTCAAAATGTTCCACAATCCGGTTTTTAGTCTTCTCAACAACCTTTGCCCAGTCATCTCTTGTGACTTCCCCGCAGGCTTCTTTTAATAGGGTCATCATCTTTTTCGTGCTGAATGGCGGGGAAGTATTGTGGCGGGCGGCGTAACCTTTTATTTGATTAGCTCAATCGCGTTATATTGGCAAGGATACGGTGGAATTTTTAAAACGCGATGACCGTACTCCAGAGCCAGTTCATCGATTTCGTATCGCACATTTGCCGCTTTATTTTCTTTAACTAATTTAATTAGCTCTGGTTTTAGCATCTGCATATTTGCGTCAATGCCTTTTGCTTGTAACCAAGCCACCATTTCTTCTTTTTTATTAGCTTGGGTAGGTGGTTTCTGTATTTGAACCGAGTGATAGGAGGCATTATCCATGAATATTACAGAAGGCTCTGGTAGGCTGGGCAAAAGCACGTTCTGGAACCACTCTTTAAATGTAGTGGCATTCATTTCCTCGTGGTAGTCATTTGTGGTTTTTGATTAAAATGCCAGTAACGCGTTCTCCACAAAGCCGTATTTTGCAGAACCTGCGTGGCATATTATCAGACCCCCCTACCCAATGGTACTTTCGACGTCGACGCATCCGTCCAAGAACGGGAAACCGTGTGATTGTCTCGTCAATGAACACGATATTATCCCAGTTATCAATATTTTTTGTTTCTCTCAAAAAACTTATCCGTTTTAAAATTATATCGTATCGTTCTAATAAATTTTTTCTTTTGTCTGTTTTTTTATACGAAAAACCAATCTCTTTTAAGATTTTGGTTAAAGCCGTTTTATCCCCGCTAAACAGTCCAGCTTCTCTTAACGATGCCAAAAGCTACTTCCTGTTGAGATATTCATTTCTGGAATAGTAACCATGCATATGATTTCTGATTGCATCGGCGTCAAAGGTGTCAATATCTGTCACGGGTTTAGTTCTATGTTTCTTCTTCGGAGTGCGTAAAATATTATCTTCCGTGCCAGTAGAGCCGAACTTTTCTTTATTAATATTTGTTATCGTTCGTTTGCTAACTCCACGCGCCTGAGAGACGCGTTCTTCTACTTGTTCGACAGGTAATAGGGGTCCGCCATTTTGCCGCTCCCGCTCAAAGTAATCTTGCAGCTTGATGATTAACTCACGGGCTCCACTTCTCAATGTTTGTTCATGTTTAGGCATTATACAGTCCATTAAACGAAAGCCGGGTAATCAAATAAAAACAGATCGAAAACACTTGAAGAACGTGGTCTATGCGCACGAAACGACAACAGACGACTGTTTTAGCGTCACAAAATGGCGGCCCATAACGCCATTTGAGGTTACCATTTTCAACCTAAATATAAAAATGCTAGTTTCTTTCGCGCGTTCGGTTTGGTCGTAGTTTTATTTTTATATTTAATAAAAGTTATCTTATAGTCCATTATTTTCAAATTCTTAAAAAGAAAAACCAAACGTATTATTTTATAAAGTATAACTGTATAAGAACAAATTACGATACTGTTATTGCCTGTTATTGTTAGCACAGCACTACAAATATAAAGCGCTGACATAACCTTGTAATAGCGCAGTATAGATTTACAAAAATATTGTTTACCAAGTTATTTGACACTCAGTTTGGCACAAAATTATAACATTCATTGATTATTGATATAATAATGTTGTTTTAATGCTCATCAATTGTTAAAACGGTAAACAAACAGCAAAAATATTTTTATCGTAACTGCAACGCCATTACAAAGTTACGTAGTTAGTTCAATCGCGACGTGTCAGGAACGCATTCTCTGAACGGCCGAACTATAAACAACGTCTAACACTAAATTAGGTCGCGCGCGATGAATAGCGTGCTACTAGATCAAATTTGCGTCACACGTCCTCTCCCAACAGCGCTGCTGCTAGAACTAGTTGCCGCTAGATATTAATACTTAATAGCGCCAAAGCGCCAGCGCCAGCGCCATGGCGACTACTTACATAGCACGCGTTATGTGTTATGGAGAGATAACGCGCTATAATATGGCGCTATGCGCTATATTAACCACCATTAGAATCTATAGGGGAGGCCTATGTTCAGCAGTGGGCTTTAATGTGCTGTAACGTTGCATGACTCATTATAGTAGCAAATGTTAGTAAGCAGAAAAAAGTACATAACTGGCGCTATGATATCAAATACAAAATATATACCTGACACAGGAATTAAAGGTTTCCTATCCATGATCTCCCACAGTCTCGTGGCGGCTCCCAAGCCTTTGTTTAGCTCTGTATAGAAGCCACTCAACCCTCCTATGCTTATGCCAACATAGGCTGCGTAGAGAAGGAAGGAAGTAAGGTGCCCCACGGTCAAAACTTCTGTAGCGACCATACTGCCTCCGTAGTAAAGCACCAATATTATTATTGTGTTCCCCGCAAGCCCTGTCTAGGAAATATTCATTTTTATTATGTTGATTAAAAACACGAAATATTTAAAAAAAACTAATGGGCAAAAACTATGTAATTATCAATATATATGATAAGGGGTAACATTAAAAATTTTCTACAACCGACTTTAATATAAATAAAATGAGAATATCATCAATGTAGTTGAAGTCGATTTTAAGGATAACTCAAAAACTACTGGTCAAATCTTGATCAAATTTATATGGGATCACATGAGAAGCACCAGCTTTCAAATAAAAAAAGAATTATCAAAATCAGAGGTAACACACATGAAAAACACAGTCGAATTGAGAACCTCCTTTTTTAAGAAGGTTGAAAATATACTAAAATTGAAAGTAGAAAAGTAAACTGACAGCCCACATTAATATGTTCCAATGATGAAAATATATTATATAATTTTTTATTTGCCACATTCCGTAGGTTTCCTAACAAATTTTTTCTGCACCGGTGTGATTAATTAATACTAAAAACTGAAAATCAATTTCAGTAGTACGTGTAATATATTAAATGGATCGTTATAATTATAATATATTAAATGGATCGTCCAGGCGCTGACCTACCACTACTCATACAATAATTTCTATATAATCAAGCAGGTTCATCAGGGGATCACTGTTATGTAATTAAGTAGGTTCATCAGGCGATCACTTGTATGTAATTAAGTAGGCTTATACAATATGGGTAGATAGTGTTCATAGTTGCTGCTATAACTACCAGTTTTTTCAGAAATGACGTTTACCTCGTTGCTTTTTCTGCAGTTTTAAATCTTATAAGTGTTTTACTTATATTTACGAGGGTGGATTGAAAAGTACTCGGCCTAACACAGATTTATTCAATTCTAAAAATCAAATCTACCCACATTATTTAGTTCAGTTCAGACTAGTTCATTGTGTGAAGTTCGAAACGTGTGCGATAATTAGTTGTGATTTTATAAATTTATTAACAAAGTAATCGGACATAATTTCCGCGAATGGAGCAAATCGAGCAGCGTGCCGTCATTAAGTACCTCCATAAGAAGGGGCTATCATCAAAAGCCATCCTTGATGACATGGTCAGTAAATTAGGCGATTGTGCTCTGTCATATTCAGCCGTCAAAAAATGGATAGCAGAATTTAAGCGTGGTAGAGAGAGTGTGAAAGATGAACCCCGCTCTGGAAGGCCTTCGACGTCAACTACTGACGAAAATATTAAAAAAGTACTTGATTTAATAATGGGAGACCGCAGATTAAAAATTAGAGAGATAGCCGAGATTATAGGCATCTCTTATGAACGAACTCAAAACATCATTGTCAACGAGTTAGGTTTCCACAAGGTGTCTGCGAGGTGGGTTCCGCGACTGCTTTCAGTTGAACAAAAAAGGACGCGATTGACTATTTCACGCGACTGTTTGTAGTTATTTTAAGCCGATACAGATGATTTTTTGAATCGTTTTGTTACTATGGACGAAACATGGGTTCATTACTGTACGCCGGAAACAAAACAACAATCAAAACAGTGGAGAATACCTGGTTCACCACCCCCTAAAAAGGCTAAGTCGATTTTGTCGGCAAATAAGGTGATGGCTTCAGTGTTCTGGGACTCGAAAGGTGTGATTATGATTGATTATCTTGAAAGGGGTCAGACTATAAACTCTGATTACTACTGCACCTTACTACGTCGTTTACGAGAGGAAATAAAAGAAAAACGTCGAGGAATGCTCAGAATAAAAGTCCTGTTTCATCAAGATAACGCCCGTGTTCACACGTCAGTACAGTCAATGGCTAAAATTCACAACTGTGGCTTTGAACTGTTACCGCATCCGCCGTATTCACCTGATCTGGCACCATCAGACTTCTTTCTGTTCCCTAACCTAAAAAAGCACTTGGGAGGTCAAAGATTTTCGACAAACGACGAGGTCAAAGCAGCTGTAGACGCATATTTTGACTCTAAGGAAGAATCATTTTTTTTCAACGGTCTAAATGCTTGGAAAGGGAGGTGGCAAAAGTTTATTGAACTTGATGGTGATTATGTAGAAAAATAAAAATATAACTGATTTAGTATGTGTTTATTTTCTTGGTTAGACCGAGTACTTTTCAATCCACCCTCGTATGTAATTATAAACATAGTATGTATTATGCAAAACAATTAATGGTTATCTCAAATCACCACATGAGCTAAATAACAATCCAGTTTATCTCTACTTTTGTTATATTACGTATGTTAATTTTTTGCCAAGTTTGAAATATAATTTATTGTAGGTATATTTGTGTTAATCATGTATGGTATGAATTAAGTAATACAAAAGAGCTGTTATTATTATTAGGTAAATTGAATTTAGAATGATTAAATAATTCAATGCTTTCACTTTGTTTTGTCTTAATGCAAATTTAGAAAGGCCGATAAATAAAAAAGTGTCACCTATGGGTCACAGACATCACTTGTTTTTCGACGAAAGTGAATCAAGGGGTAAATGCAATGTCATTCCTAAACATTAAATAAAATGTGCCGTGCTTGTTTCTTTTCAGTCCGGTCGACTATATGATAACGAAAAATGTAAATGTGTTCATATTTATATATTAAGGCTTACAAACAAAAATATTTACCTCACTTGAAATCATTTATGGTAATGAATAATTCGAATTCAAATAAACGCAATAATCATAAACAGTAAATTAGAATGCTAAACTATTAATTAATTAATTATTTCGCAACAAATTCTTACCATTCCGTAGAAGCTGCCCACAGCCAAGGATTCTTTGTATGCCAATTGCAGTACTTTTTCTATTCTTTGTGCATATGATTCACATTCTTTCTCTTCTTTACTAAATGCTTTTACCGTTTTAATGTTTGAAATTTTTTCTTCAGCTAACTAGAAAAGGAATGTTTTATGTTAAGAACATACGCAGATAATATAAAACAATAATATATTACATGGGTCTTTTTAAGTAAGGGTGACAAACGCTGAAAAATAAATATTATGAGAATTAAGTTAAAGTAATTAAAAATTTGATATTAAATTAATGATATCAATAATAGGCTTTTTTCTCTCTTTATTAGGTTTACCAACAATTACCTACTCTAATAAAATCACATTATACAGCTACTTAAAGTTATAACAAAAATGCTACAATCGTATACATAAACTGAACACTAATAAGGGCGAAAACGAGCACGTAGTCCTGATGGTAAGTAAACTCTGGAGCCCCTTGACCTACATCTACTCAAGGTGAAGAAACAAAATATAAATGTTTTGTCACCAGTAAAAACCTTATGACTCAATATATGAAGCATAGCAGCATTTTACTGCCCTTTTGCTAGGATATTCTGTACAAGAGGGATACTTCCATGGCCAATTCGGTCCATTCGTACAGCCTTACTAGAGATTTAGCGTGGCTCTACTATGTATAGGTCTATGCAGACGGTCTCTCATTTGAACTGCAAGCCTACATAACACAATTGCACTGATCGTATTACGTCAGAGATGTTCAACAGATTCTCTAGAGTCGGCGGGAGAGATCAATTTTATGCAGCGTGTAAGGATAACATGAAAACAAAATTAGTTGGTACATCATACCTCACTTGTATCAGCTAAAGTTGTCTGTAACTGTCTTGTGATGCTGCGAACGAACCGCCCGTATATGACGGCCAGCATTGAAACGGGGGGTACTACACATAAACCAATCGTCGCTAACGACGGCGACATATAGAACTAGAAAGACAAAAAAATTGTGACATTTTAGAAATAATATAATTTATTACCGTGTAGTGGCGGTGTAATGGTCGCCACACACGGTCAGTTCAATTGATCATTCCAACTGATCAGTTCAAACGGAAACTGTTGATATTTTTTAAAATAGTGTATTTTCGATATATCGATCATTATAAATATAATATCGGAGCTTTACATATAAGTTTTTTTTAAGAATATTAACAATGCTACAAACATTACTAATATTCCCCTTAACCACTCGTGGTAAGCTTAAAGCTTGTGTTACGAGTGGTTCACAGCAGTAGTCGAATGGTGTATTCGAACCCACGACCTTTTTGAGTTCGCGGTCCGCGCCCTGCCATTAGGCTACTGTCGCTTCATGATTATTTATGGATAAATCGAAAATCCGATATTTAAAAAAAATCAACAGTTTTAGTTTGAACTGATCAGTTGGAATGATCAGTGGAACTGACCGTGTGTGGCCGCCATAAGAATATCCACTACCCCACATTCTGTGGGTGACATAAGAGGCGACAGAAGGAAACGGGAAAAGGTTTGGGCAGTAGCATTTTTCTAATAACCCTTTCTAATAACCGCTAGCCAAGCATGGCAACTATGGCAAAAACCTCCCTTTGAAGCAACCTATGGGGGAGGCCTATGTTCAGCATATACTGTTCCCATCTCCGGGCTGAGGCTTCCTGGTGCCAGCTCCTTCCATTCGATCGCACCCAGCGTAAAGCCGTTCGAATCGTCGGCGACCGAGCTTTTTCCGATCGGCTTGAGTCACTGGCACTGCGAAGAGACGTTGCATCTTTTTGCGATTTCATCGCATTTACCACGGGGAGTGCTCTGAGTAATTATTCGGACTAATTCCAGCCGCACAATTTTACCATCGCACATCGCGAAAAAACAACAACCAACTCCAACAATATTTTTTCCTTTCTTGAGTTCACGTTATCAAACCCTATGTTAGAGAGATATATTATTTTTTAATATAGGAGAGGGAGCAAACGAGCATACCCCTCACCTGATGGTAAGTGATTACCGCCGCCAATAAACAACTGCAACACCAGGGGAATTGCAGATGCGTTGCCGGCCTTTTAAAAATGAGTGGGCTCTTTTCTTAAATGACCCTAAGTTGTATCGGTCCGGAAAAGTATCTGGTGGTAGTCGATTCCACAAGGAAGTTGTGCGAGAAAGAAAACTTCTTTTAAATCGCACAGTGGTGGACCGCCAGTCATCGAGAAATTATGGATGGTATGGCGAGATTTGTTGCGGATGTGTGATGTTGAAATTGTGTGGCTGGAATTAGTCCGAACAATTCCTCAGAGCGCTACCAGTGGTAAATGTGATAAAATACGCAAAGAGATGCAACGTCTCTTCGCAGTGCCAGTGAGTCGAGCCGATCGGAAAGAACTCGGTCGCCGACGATTCGAACAGCTCTGCGTTAGATGTTAGTCATCTAGGATTTTAGGATATTATTAAAGTGCCCTTAATACTAAAGATATTTATCTTCTTTCACTAAAATGAGACAACATATTCTTTTATTATTTTTTTAAAAACATTGCCCTTAATGTCCCTTAACAGTATCTTGAAGACAGTTATATATTTCACAAGGACAAAATCCAGCTTTATTCTGTATGATGAGTGAGATGAAATGCCTAATGCCTGATTTAAGCATCCACTACAGTAAGTTAGTGAGGATCGTAAAAGTCCTCTGCTGAAAATAGGTCTCTCGGCGAAATTAATGAGGATATCAGTCGCGATCGCGTCGCCTTGACCATCATCATTACATCCTGTCAAAAGTCCACTGCTGAATATAGGCCTCTTCCATAGATTGCCTCATGTACATGTGCCATAGTATTGTTACGAGCTTGAGGTTCGTGACAATAAAAATTGCCGATAGAATTACCTAAATTAACACTAATTTTCTTTACACTAATTAAAACTTAAAACACCAATAATTAATCACACTGATTCACTTTATTTCGCTCCGAAGCTTCGCTTGTCTCGCCAAATTCAATACTTCCTCCATCGCACCTTGCAGCGCCTATAAATACACCTTAGCACCGAAAAATCCAGAACATTCAAGTAAATGCGCGCGCCAATCGACTAAGCATCGAAAGTTCGAGTGTCGGGCTTCTAGAAGCTTAGTTCTTCGTTTCGACAACAGATGGCGCTGTCGGTTGAAAGATTAGTGATGTCATTTTCTGGAAAGCACTCTCCTCGCTCTGTTACCCGACACTAGATGGCGCTAGTGCCAGAGATGAGATGTCAACTTAGCCGCGCAACACTGCCCCCTCCTAAGACATGCTCGTCCCGAGCATTATCGGCCCCATAATAACGCGCCAGGCGATCCACATGGACGATCTTAGGAGTCCCTCTTGCGCCTTTCTGTATCCGGTAGGTTACATCGTTGATCCTGGTCACAATCCGGTACAGGCAGTCACATTTAGCTTGAAGCTTAGGAGATTTCCCTTTGCGGCTGACTGGATTGTGCAACCACATTAGTGAACCTTCGTCGAACTCTTTCTTGTTCATTTTGCGGTCGTACCGGGTTTTCATCTTTTCAGACATTTGCTGGCCCGATTGTCTGACGTGCTCATAAATCTAGTCATTTGCATAATCGGTTATACTGCGTGGAGCATCAGGTGGTATCCCGGTGATCAGGTCCAGGCAATAGGCAGCCGTAATTCTCTCCCAAAGTTTGCGAAAGCTGGTGTCACTGATGTACTTTCGTGAACAGCGCTCCGATATGACAACAAAAACGGTTGTATGTGCTTGTCCCAATCTCGTTGCCGATTGTCTACAACTTTTGCTAGGTACCTCTCCAATGTCTGATTAAATCGTTCTACCATTCCATCAGATTGCGGGTGATAAGAAGTCGTTCTTGTTTTATGAGTACCCATAACTCGGCAAGTTTCCTGGAATATTTGAGACTCAAAATTCCTTCCTTGATCGCTGTGAATCTCTAAAGGTACTCCAAAACGACAGAAGACTTCATGAATTAGTTTATCTGCAACTGTTGAAGCTTCTTGATTTGGAATGGCGAAGACTTCTGGCCACTTAGTGAAGTAATCCATCACAACCATGAAATACTTGTTATCGCTTTCACTCTTCGGAAACGGGCCCGCCACGTCAATGGCTATTCTCTCCCATGGTGCACCAACATTGTACAACTTCAATGCCCCTCTACTACGAGTCTGAGCTCCCTTTACAGCCGCACAACTTGTACATTTGCGACACCAGTCCTCGACATCGTTTCGACAGTGGACCCAATAAAACCGTTCTCGGATCTTCAGTAGAGTTCGTTTAACTCCCAGATGGCCTCCTGAACAATCATTATGGTACAGCTGTAGAACATCCGGTACTCTAGCTTTAGGGACGACCATTTGCAAATAACAGCTGTCTCCCCGAACATTTTCCCATTTACGGCACAGAACTCCATCCTGAAGCAGCAACCTGTCCCATTGGGCCCAATAGCTTTTAGTGGTCGAACTCATCGCTGAGATGTCGCTCCACTTGGGCTTGGGAGCGCTGGCCTTTATCCATTCCAGAATCGGCTTGATGTCCGGATCTTCCTGCTGTGCATGTAGTAAGCTGTCCTTCCACTCGTTGCTGAGGTGGTCTGACCTGAGCATCCTCACGGATACCTCTTCCTTACTCTCTTGCCTAGTACAATTCGGTTTCGGTGCAATCTTCAGGACAAGGTCTTCTTGACAATGCATCTGCTTTGCCGTGAGATATTTCGCTGCGTAGTTCGATCTCAAAGTCGTATTCCTGCAGTAGTTCAATCCACCTCGCAACTTGTCCTTCTGGATTTTTAAACTGCAATAGCCATTTTAGTGCAGCATGGTCAGTTCGTAAGTGAAATTTTCGTCCCAGAAGATATTTGCTAAAATGCTGCAACGACTTTACCACAGCTAGCAATTCGCGTCTTGTGACACAATAGTTCCTTTCCGGTTTTGACAACGACTTGCAGAAGTACGCTATCACGACCTCTAGGTCACCATTCCGTTGAGACACCACGCCGCCAAGTCCTATATCACTTGCGTCTGTGTCGACTATAAATTCTTTGCTTGCATCAGGGTATCCCAAAATAGGTGTTTTGCACAGACGGTCCTTGAGCTCCTGGAATGCGATATTGCAACTTTCATCCCAGCAGAAATGTCGCTTCTCCTCGGTTAGCTTGTGCAGAGGTTTGGCTATATCTGCAAAGTTCTTCACAAATCGCCGGTAATAGGAGCACAAACCCAAAAATGCTCTAACCTGCGTCATGTCTTTTGGAACCGGCCAATCCTTGACAGCGGCGATTTTCTCTGGATCCGTGCGGATACCTTCTTTCGATACTACATACCCCAAAAAGTTAACTTGCCGTTTGAATAGTGAACATTTCTTCGGACTCAACTTGAGGTTGGCACTCTGAATCCTCATGAGCACGCGTTCCAGGTTTCGAAGGTGTTCCTCAAACGTCCGGCCTACGATGATGATGTCATCCAAGTAGACCAGACAGGCATCGCCAATTAGCCCGGTAAGTACAAGTTCCATCAGCCTTTCAAACGTTGCTGGAGCATTGCACAACCCAAACGGCATTACTTTAAATTGCCACAGACCCTTTTCCGTCGAGAACGCAGTTTTCTCCTTGTCCTTAGGGTCAATTTCAACTTGCCAGTAGCCACTTTTTAGATCCAGCGCGCTAAACCACTTTACTCCTGTAAGCATGTCCAGCGAGTCATCAATTCTTGGCAAGGGATAGCTGCCCTTCTTCGTAACGTCGTTCAGACGGCGGTAGTCAACACAAAACCACATGCTGCCATCCTTCTTCTTCACCAGCATCACTGGTGAACACCATGGACTAGAGGAAGGTTCAATAACACCATCCTTCACCATTCCTTAAATCATGGTTTCCACTTCCTTTTCACGTGCTACCGGCAATCTTCTTGGCCGCTGACGGATAGGCAATTCTTCTCCTGTGTTTATTTTGTGTTGAACTAAGCCAG